TCCAGCCTCAGCAGGCCCGTGTTATCTGACTTCTTGTTTCAGCTGGATAAACTCATTTTCCAGGCAACTTTTGAACTTAGGAAAGTCTGGGGCATCTGGAGAAATCCCCTCCTCAAGAATGCAAAGTCCTTTTACCTTTTCTTTTTGACCTTGCTTTCTTATAATTTATTACTTCTTGGTGCATTATCATGACTAACTAAAAATCAATACCCACTTCACATCTGTAAGGTTTTATCTGGAGGGAAATCTGCTACCTGTCCATCAGAGTGACTGACAGCCTTCCCTTTCCCCTCCCTCTCATCAGTTGGCGCTCTCCCCTTCCCCATCTCCTTTCCCTTTGCTGCTGTCCCAAATCAGTCACAGGAGCGGAGTGGGCTTGCACTTCGGGGTAAGTCAGTAACAGCCACGGTGCGAGGAGCCTTCGGCCTTGTTCCTACCCTTTCCGGAGGTCATTTGTCATGGGGGAGAGGGGGTAGGGGTCTTGATGTGTTGGGGAGACCAAGGTTAATGCACAAAGACACTCCTGGATGAAAGAGCCAGCCCCCCCCGCTCGCCTCCTGCTACTGCCTCCCTCCCCACCCTCATCTCTGCAGCTCCCCCCCTGTTACCCCCCCGGGACGTTTCATCACTCTCTCCCATACTTTAAAAGAAGGGGAGTTAAAAAAATGTAATTAATTCCCTCCATTTCTGAGCTGGCCCTCAGGGCCTCTGGCCGTGGAAACTGTAGCAGGGGAAATGTGCACCCTTTATGATAAACGAATGCGGCTTTGGAAAGGGAAGTGCAATTAGGGCCTTCAATCTGTGCAATCAGACCTTCAGATTTCAGGTTTGGGGGTTGGGGGAGGTACGGTTGGGTGGGTTGGGGGGGCAGGAAGGGCTCAAGGGGCAGACAAGTGATAGGGAGAGATACCGCTTTGATAGAGAAGGGTGTGAGCACATCAGGGAGGGGAGAGGGAGGGTAGCAGAGAAGTTTCATGACAAAACCCTTCCCCTGCAGACCTGGCCGCTGCACCTTGCTGGTCTCTGCGGTCCAGAGCTCTACAGGAAATAACCGGGGCAAGCTCAGGCCATGCCGGACAGGCTATACATCCTCAGAGTCCCTACACCTCCTGCCCTGCATTATCAGTTTGCTTTAGGCTTGCTAAGATACCCAGCTGACAGAGACATCAGGCCTTGGACACAGCAGGCTTTAGATCTACGCTCAGTGCTGCTACACCGCCCCATGAGCAGGAGGGCCCAGAGGTGGTGTAAGGAGATCAAACCCAAGCAAACCAAACGATGGGGAGGCAGGAGCCTGCGGACAGCATTTTCCAGAGTGACCCCTGATTCTGTGGTGTCTCCATTTCTGGACACCCGATTTGACACAGCGCAAAGCATCCAAATCAGAAGCTGCCTTAGAAAAATGCTGCATTTAGAAAGTGCTGAGCCTGGCTAAGTTCCGAATAAAGGGAAGACGTAATGATCTGCAACTAGCTGAAGGGTGTTAACTCCAGAGAAGCTGCCGAGTGGTCCCAAAGGAATGCAAACTGGATACCAGGCAGAAATGGAAAAGGGAAAACTAGAGGAAAGGTCTCCTGGCAGTGGGTAGTATTCCTGAGGCTGTGGTACTGCTTTCCTAGGAATGGGTAGAAACCCTCTCTCTTTGGGAAAGGCTGGAAATGTGATCAGTTGGACTACTTGAAACAACATCAGGCAAAAAGCACTAGGAAGTTCTCGGTTGTGAAGAGTGTTTGTAGGCTGAAATCTCTCTTTGTTTCAGATTTACGCCCCTTCCTAGGGAATGGGCAGTCTGACAGGGGCCTGACAGCTGTGCTGGGAAACATGTTAGACCTTACAGTTTTATTAATGACATGGACCAAACTAACGATTCGCTCCGAGTTCCTCCAGAAGGGCTTAGTCTCTGCCTTTGGTGGTTGATTCAGCTTCTGCTCTGGATAGGTCATGCTCTGTCCTTAGCTACTTGGTGGGTACCCAGCTTAATCTTTTCCATCTTTATTTTGAAGCCTGTTCAGCTAATCTTTTCCTTCTCTCTTGCAGAAGGCAACCCTTCCTCATATTAATGCTTTTTGATCTCTGTGGATTCATTTTCACTTGGTGGGAAGAGTCGATTATTCTATACATACATTAAATGGAAACAAAATGAAGAGGTGACTGTAGGACTACTGAAAGCCGAAGAAAGAGTTGGGAGGAGATAAATACAGTTTCCCCAAAGATCTTCACTTGAAAGGAGGATAAATATATGCAAATATGCCCCTAGGTAGGACTAAAATGACTTATGTAGCAATCACTAACACTCCACTCACAAAACCAAGCAATTAATTTTGAATATTTTCTAAATCACTAGACCCAGCTGAGTTGTATCCCAATATGCCAAACCAATCCAGTAAGTACACCCATTAAATTTGATTTTGCAATCAGGCCAAGGATCCAGACAGTGCTTCACACTTCTTGCACCTAGGAAATGTCTGATCCGGGTAATTGCAGTCCCTTCCAGCTAATGTCACTTCCATCTAAATTCTGGAGCCCGGGGAGCAAACTTCATGTTAGCTGCCTTCTTTAAGGGTAACTTCACTGACTTCAAGGACAATCCTGATTCACCTGCATAAATGAGCAGGTGACTTAACTCTCAACTTCTATTTTGTTGTGGGTTAAAGTTTAAGAAATCTGATGCTCCACTGCCCCAGCTTTACCTCATCTAGCCAGGCATTTATAATCCATCCATCAGCACATTACTAGTGCTACAGAGAACAGTGCTACAAATATGAGCTAACACAATCTCACAAGTCCTTCCTGCTACAGGACTTCAGGGCTGATGTGGCTGCTGTGATGTTTCATTTTCATAACCTTCCCTTCTCCGTTGGAAAATATACGGAGGCCAGTGAAATGCCTTTCCCAAGGCCACGCGAAGTGTGTCAGAAGCAGAGCCGGGAATGGAGCGTAACGAGCCTGAATCCTTTCTGGTGTGTACAGGACAGATCATAGCAGATCCCTTTAAAGTGGTCAGAAACGGTTACTGCAGGCCTGTGCTTGAACAGTGGTACAGTTTGGCAGTGAACAATAAACCCAGAAATATCATCAATGCCTTTCAGTGACTTAAAACATCTGAAGGATGTTTCAGCGCCATAGGGGAGTGGTCTAGGACACAGCGGGTGAAATGGAGATGAGCTTTGTGTCCTAAAATGACCCTGTTCACTTAACGGATGAAAAACTGCCACACACTCATGATGGAGAGGGCTTGGGGAGATGCTGGGGATGAGATGGAGCTGGGGATGCAATGGTGAGCTTCAGCAAAGCAGACCAGTGCAGGCTGCACAAGGGGAGGATTAGAAAAAAAAAGGCGATGGGAGGTTATTACCTGATTGTTCAAGGCTATGGTGAGGTTCCACCTGGAGCACTGCATCTTGTTTTGGGCACCCTGCTTCTGTAGAGATGTACAAATTACGGAGAAGGTCTAAAGAAAAGTTTCTAAGCTATATAAAAGAATGGGAAGGTCTTAGCTATAAGGATAAGAGAAATTGCTTAAGTCTTGATGGTATGGGAAAGAGGAGTGGGCTCTTCTGCAATGGAAATACCGAAAGGAAATCAGAAGCACCATGGGGTTATACATCCATAATTTGGAGGGGAGGCATCACTGTGAATGGGAATTACATTAAAAACTGCTTGATCTAGAAACACGAGCCACCATCCCTGGTGTTAGGGCACCAAACTCTACTATCACTTAGATAAAAGCAGATGGCAAAGCTTTTAATAGTCTGGATAACCAGAGAGGAAACAAAAAGACATGTTGTGATAGTGGGGCTGTTTAAGGTAAAGGGGGGGTCCCAGTTTCACGGCCGTCGATTTCACTAACAAGCAGAATCAAAAGACATGGACTAACCCCTTCCAGAAATGGGAGAGACTCAAGCCAAAAGGCTAACTAGTGCCTTGCCACGTTGAAACTGCTGAAGGGGTCGGATTTTCATGCACTGCTGAGTATCTCCCCTCTGAAACGGGGCAGTTTGTGGTTTACTACCCATCGACATCATTATTCACCTTGTGTTACCTAAGCATGAAGTGTTTTTCCTGATTAAATTGGAATCGCTAAGACATTTTATATAGAATAACCAAAAGAAGGTCAATGCTTCCCAAATGTGCTGGTTGGCAAACTGAGCCATCCTGTCCTCCTTGTTTCCAGGCAGCAGACTGCATTAATAGAAGCCACCACAAGCAAAATCTGTCCTGATACTGTTTTCCCCATGAATATGTTTCTCTGTGAAGGCCAAGTTAATACATTGGAAAGGAAAGTTTCTATAGAAAAATCCCTTTGTTGAGATACGGAGCATCTCTGGGCAACTTTACACAGAGTATTAATTACAGGAAGATGAATCTTGCTTGTGGCATTTTGGAACTCACAAAATCATCTGGGAGGAGAAAGCAGAAAGGCACAACCATGGAAAACTGCAATTCCTAAACATTTCCAGAGTGGCAGAAGGACTCAGGTTAGGTTTGGCTTTGGAAATAGGCTGGATTGGTGATCACTTGAGTTTTTTACTCTGCACCTACTCATCCATTCTTGGGTAAGCTCGGACATGCTGATGGCAGGCGGGGAATGAAAAGGGCTTGGTGAGAGATTCAAAACACCAAGAAATAAACAAACACACACCAAGGTTTCCTGCTAAATCGGCCCTAAATCTATTGCAGTGCATCTGCCTGATGGAATAATGGCAGGATGGGGAGATCACGCAGCACAGCTAAGTCCTAGCAAATTAAAACTGTTTTATAAACTTCTGTCATTCCTCTCTTCAGCCGCCCCATGCTGGCAGAGGCTAACAAAGACAAACCAAAATTCCCAGAAAGGTCTCCTCTTCCCCTCCTCCCTTTCCATTTCTCTCCCTCTTTTTTTTTTTTTTTTTTTTCATTTCTCAGCTAAGCTGATCTGTGCTCGCTCACTATCACAACCCCCCGCGGACACTGGTAATGGAGTGCGGGTGCTGACTTACTGCTTCGAAACAAGATTTCCTGAGATCCTTTGAGTCCACTCCATGCCCCCCCTCGCCTGCTTTTCTCTCTCCATCTCTCTCTTTTTGGAGACTGGAGGGGAGCCTCTATAAATGTGAAAGGAGCTGCACTACAAAGAATCCCCCGAGTGGCATATCCCAGCCCCAGGCGAAGCTGCTTGGTGCACTGATAGTCCTGCGTATCTGCTCTAGGACTCCTCTTTCTCTTCCCCTCCCTCTTTCTCTGATCAATCAAGGGCTGTAATCAGTTAAGGTCCAGCTTAACTGCAGTGTAAGATACACCAGTGAAGCAAAGCCAATGCCTCCAGGGTTCCCATCGTAAATACGGCGAGGTCATGGGGAGATGAAATAACCCTGATAAGTTCAGCAAGTGCAGTGGTAGCTAGGCTTACACCAAACACTTAATAACTTGAGCTGGCAAAAGAATGGAAGAAAGGGAAAATCAGAAGCTCTTCCTATTGCCAGCTCCTCTGCTGCTTGTTCGCTTGCACTCTCAATTCCCTGCTTTCTGGGGGAGGGCTTGGTGCATTTTTTAAGGTGAAGGTTTCTGTTTTCAGCTCACCCTAACGAATGAACAACACACACCCCGGTCCTGTCTGGGAGCGTCTCAGCTCAGTTTGGATCTTCTGAGGCTACCACAGGGATGAATTTTTAAAGTCCGGACCTCTTTTTCCCTCACCTGTAGGAAAATCACAGCTCCTGAATTCAAGGGAATGCCTTTTGCAGCCCTACATAGTGCCATGTGCTCTTTCTTCGGACTTCTCTCTGCTGCTAGGGAGCACTGTGGTATTTTCAAAGCTGCTTGCTTTTGCCAAACACGAACCCCAAAACTCCCATAGAATCTGAACTCAGGGACAATGGATCTCCAGCCACCAAAGTGTGGAGTCCACTGGTGTGGAGGCATTAGTGTAAATGGAGAGGAGAGGAGAGGAGAGGAGAGGAGAGGAGAGGAGAGGAGAGGAAGGAAATTCGTCCTCCACGTCACTGACCGGGAAACCACACCGCGCAAGACC